ACGAGACAACAAAACCACAAGGACCAACAAACAACAACACCATCCCCAACACCAACCTCAACAACAGCACCAACAACAACCTCAACAATAATACCACCACCAACAACAACAACCACACCAACAACAGCAACTTCAACTACAACGGCAATTTTCATTTTCCCGGCCGCCCTACGATTCTATATTATCATGCAGCACGCATCCATCATGATAGTCGCCCCTCATTAAAATGGGGGTCTTTCTTTGCACTGGGGTGACCGATATCCCCTTGCCCTCATCCCCTTTGCCAACAACTCTTTTGAGACACTTCAACACCTCCAGCCCAGATGACACATCACCTTCGTTGTTGTTGTTGTTGTTGTTGTTGTTGTTGTGGTTGTTGTTGTTGTTGTTGTTGAATTCTCACTTCTGAAGACTAGTCATTGTTGATCCCCCCCACCGGTGCATACTGTTTTTTCTTAATCAAAGTGTGCCTATCGACGCTCGCATCCTGTTTTTTGATTGGGAAAGTCTTGATGCTCAAACTGGGCCCCTGGCCCTCGGGTTACAACAACAACGGCTCCCGCTTGAGACTTCCTTACAATTTAGCCAGGACCCCCGCTCCCGCCCGAGCCTTCCTCGCATTTTATTCAGGAATCGCGCTCTCGCTTCGGACTTCCTTACAATTTATTCAGGAATCGCTCTCCCGGCGCTCTGGCGTCGCGTTCTCGCTGGAGACTTGCTTGCAAATTACTGCAGAATGGCCTTGCGTTGGAATTCCTTGCAATTTGCCCATGCGCCGCGCTCCCGACACCAAGGCACCCAAGAGTCGCGCCCGTTGTGGCCCCATGTGCATGCCCTTCGTGGCCCCGCTGTCGCCATTTGTGTCCCCGTCACTGTCCTACGTGGCCCAGTTGTTGCCTTCAGTGGCCCCATAGTTGCCTTCTGTGGCCCCGCATTACCTGCACTTCGTGGCCCCCGCTCGTTCGCGCTCTTCGTGGCCCCATACGCATTCCTTTCGTGTCCCCGCTGTCGCCCTTCGTGGCCTACTTCGTGCCCTTCGTGGCCCTGCTGTCGTTCTCTCTCGCTTTCGCTCGTCGTCGCCGTCGTCGTCGTCGTCGCCGTCGTTTTCGACGTCGTCGTCGTCGTCGTCGTCGTCGTGGTCGGTCCCCTCCCTGTCCGTCCCTCTTGGGGTCGGGTCGACGGTCCGCGGCCGCCCCGCCGATCAGCGCTGCCGCTGGCCAGGCCGACGGTCCGCGGCCGCCCCGCCGCTTGCCGGGGCCCGGCCTGCAGGGAAGAAAGGTATACCCCCCAAAAGGGGTTCGATCGAAGACGAATTGCGGGTAACAGGGGTTTGGGAAATTCGCGTTATTGGACACTCGAGCATATAAGGGTGAACCGTCTTAAACATGTGGTTGTTGTTGTTGGTGGTGTTGGTGTTGGTGTTGGTGTTGTTGTTGTGGTTGTTGTTGTTGTTGTTGCTGTTGTTGTTGTTGTTAAACTCTAATTTCTGAAGAATAATTATTGTTGATCCCCCCCTCCGGCGGACATTGTACTTTTTCAATTGAAGTTCCCCTTCCGGGGCTCGCACCCTGTTTTTTATCAGGGAAAGTCGTGGGCATCAAACTGCGTTGTTGGCCCCCCGGACAACAACAACAACGGCTCCCGCCTGATTTTTCCTCCAAGTTTACTCAGGACCCCCGCCCCCGCCTGGGACTTCCTCTCAGTTTACTCAGGCGGAGGCGCTCCCGCCTGAGACTTCCTCGCACATTACTCCGGGAGCGGCGCTCCCGCCTGGGACTTCCCTCACAACTGAGCCCTGCTGAACTCTCAATACTGAAGAATAATTCTTCTTGATCCCCCCCGGCGGACACAGTATTTTTCCCCGACCTGGCGGAGGGGTTCCTGTTGTGTGTCCCCCTGGGGGGGTCTGGGGGGGGGACCCCCCGGGACATGGCCCCGGCCACGGGCGGAACGCCGGCGGAAGACGGCGGAAGTCCGGCAGGACACGGCATCATTTCTGCAGACGCGCTTCCGGGAGGCACGGACGGCCCCTAGATGGTCCACGAGATGGCTCACGAAGGCCGGTCCCCGGGCGGCCTCCCCGGGTCGGCCTCCCACCTCCCTCCCTCCTCCCTCCCTCCCTCCTCCCTCCTCCCTCCCCTCCTCCCTCCCTCCCTCCTCCTCCCTTCTCCCTCCCCTCTCCTGCCTCCCTCCTCCGTCCTCCCGTCTGCCTCCTCCCTCCCCTCTCCTGCCTCCTCCCTCCTCCCTCCTGTTTCTCCTCTCTCCTTCCTCGTCCCTCCTCCAAACTCCCTCCTCCCTCCCTTCCTCCCCCCTCTCTCTTTCTCTCCCTATCTCTCTCTCTCTCTCTCTCTCCCTCTAAATCGTCCTCCCCCCTCCGCGTCCCGTCCCTCCTAGCATCTTCCCTCCTCCCTCGTCCCTCCCTGCTCCCTTCCCTCCTCCCTCGTCCCTCCGCCCGCCCTTCCAAAGAGAAATAATCCCCCTAAAGGGGGTACGTTCGAATACTAAGAGGGCGGGTATCGAGGGTGTGCCTCGTGATTCATTCAGGATTCACCCTTTAGTCACCCGCCCGCCAGGTTTCGCCCGCCCGATCCGCCTGTTACAGCCCGCCCGTTCGCTCTCTTGGCATCTCGCCCGCCCGCTTTAAGCCACCGCCCGCCCGACCCGCCAGCGAGGGTCCGCCGCCCGACCCGTCCGTTGGCGTCCGCCCGCCCCGCCAGCCCGACCCGCCCCTCAGAGTCCGCCGCTCGACCCGTCTGTCTGGTTCGTCCGTTTGTTTACCTCCTCTTTTGCCCCCCTCCCCTCCTGCTAACCTCTTTCGTCCTCCATCCATCCTCCCCCCCTTGCCCCTTCCCTCCTCCCTCCCTCCCCCCACTCTTTTCCTCCTCGCTCTCCCTTCCTCCTTCCCCCTGCTCTTCCTGTTTTAGGGGCTGCGCCAACTACACGTGGCGAGTAAAAAAGATATACCCCCAAAGGGGTATGACCGAAGACGAAGAGGGTGGGTATCGAGGGTTTGGGATTTACATATTGAGTGACGCGCGCGCATATAAGAGCCATCGGTCTTAAGATGATTGTTGTTGTTGTTGGGGGGTCGGTTTCGGCGCCTCCCCGAAACGCTCGAGCGCGAACTAGTTGTTGGAAGAAATGCAGCCGGCGCCGAGGCGGGAAAGCAAGGGCGCGTCTTAGTGGGTCCACCGGTAACTATTGCTTAGTAGTCTAGATTCCGCACCACCAACACCAACACCAACGACAACAACACAAACCATCATTTCAAGACTGTTCGTTCTTACCCTCCAGCGTGCCATCCAACACGTATCTCCCAAACCCTCGTCGCCCGCCTTTTTAGTCTTCGATCGTGCTCCCTCTGGGGGTGTATCTTTTCTAGCTGCCGCGCGTGTTCCGCGCAACCCCTGAAAGAGGAGAAGCAAGGGCGGATGTACAGGGGGAGGCAGAAGGATGGATCAAGGGAGAAAGTTGCTGGAGGTAGGCTGGGAGCAGAAAGCACGTGGCAGAACCAGACGGACAGATCGGGCGGGTTGAGCGGGCCAGGGAGGCGGGCCCAGGCGGCCAGGTCGAGGAGGAGTGTTGTTGAAGCGTGAATGCGGTTTCCCAACTAGAGCAAAGCTCGAGCGACAGCGCGCTTCCCAAGTAAATCGTGCAAGCGACCAAAGCGAGAGCGTGAGTCTTGAGTGTCGCGGCGCGGCGCCTGAATCAATTGCGAGGGTTTCCAAGGCGAGAGCGCGATTCTTGCATAAGATGTGAGGAAGTCCCGCGAGAGAACCCGACTTTAGAATGCATTGTGAGGAAACAACAGGCGATTATCGCTCTTTTTGTGTAAGCCGGGGACCAGGGGCTCAGTTCGGTGACGCACAGCGCATTTTTTATAACAAACAAGGTGCGGTCACTGGGAGGAGCAATTCATTTGAAACATGCACGTGTTACCGGGAAGGGGGGATCACAACGAAACATGTTGCAAGAAGTGATAATTCAACAAACAATTACCCCAGTGCGACCCTACCCAGAAGTTGGAGCCCTTCGGAAAACAGCATTAGTTGCTATGCTATGCTATGCTGCGCTATGCTATGGTATGCTATGCTATGCTATGCTGCGCTATTGCTATGCTAAGCTAAGCTATGCTATGTCATGCTGTGCTGTGCTATGCTAAGCTATGCTCTGCTATGCTATGCTAAGCTGCGCTATTGCTATGCTATGCTAAGCTATACTCTGCTATGCTATGCTAAGCTGCGCTATGCTATGTTATGCTACGACATGTTATGCTATGCTCTGCTCTGCTATGCTATGCTGTGCTATGCTGCGCTGTGCTATGCTGTGCTGTGCTGCGCTATGCTATGCTATGCTATGCTATGCTATGCTATGCTGGGCTATGCTATGATCTGCTGTGCTGCGCTATGCTATGCTACGCTATGCTATGCTGTGCTCTGCTATGCTAAAGCTCAGCGAAGCTAAGATGAAGGTAAGCTATGCTAATATAAAGCTGAGGTAAGATGAAGCTAAGCTAATGTAAGATTAAATGAGCTAAGCTAAGATGAGATAAGCAACGCGAAGCTAAGGGAATGTCACTGGGGGAATCGCGGGTCGGATGCCGGGGGAACCGCCCGGGGCGTGCCCCACTGCCCGGCCCTTTAAGCCTCAGAGTAAGAACCCTTCTAGGCAGAGCCTAGGTAGGGAACAACATTAACATCAACAACAACAATCCTTACTGCATAACCTCACTTCGGCCACGTGCCCAAAGAAAGTTCTTGACCGTTCAAACGCCTTACCCGGATGCTATAAGAGCATTTGTTATTTCATTGGGCCATCAGGTTTCTCGAAAGCATCCCGCAATATGTTTTTAAGAATGCCGGGGCGGTCGGTCATTGCTCAAGGTGTTTCTTGGTTATTGTTTTTTGTCTGTCTTCGGCATGCGTTTCAGCAGCTGTTTCTCATGGGGAGCTTTCAAGGGGTGTCCAGGACGCCTCCTCAGCATCCAAGATTGATGAATCATGTTCGTGCCAGTTGCTCTTCTTCTTTGGTTCTCACCATTCGGCTCAAGGCATTTGCGACCGAGCCGATCGTGCTTCAAGGGTCGACACAGTTTACTGCACATCTACACATTGCTTTCTCGCTCGGCCTCGACGATGGTCGCCCTCCTCACGCTGTTCGCCCTGCCATGTGTGGCGTCTTCCCTGTCGCTCCAGAGAGCCGACGCTGAGGATCGGCGGTGGCGCGCAGAGGGGAGAAGGCAGACGGGGCGGGCCTTCTCAGAGGGCGGCGGGGCTTTATGGACCTCCCCGGCGTCTGGAGGGCTTCTGAGAAGATCTCAAAAGTTTTGAGATCTTCTCAGAAGCCCTCCAGCCTTCGGGGGCGCCATCTGTGGCATCGGCGAAGGCTCAGGAAGCTTCTCAAGAAGGCAACAGGCCCTCTCAGCCCTCCGCCGAAGGCTCCGCCCTTTCTGCCACCTGTGTGAGACGCCCCGCCGCCTTTGAGAAAGGCTACCCGCTCCTGAGACCCAGGACGTCGTGCTTTTTGTCGCAGCTTGGACCCCAAGCGGGACCAGGTTCTCATTTAGTTCTGGTGACAGTCCCGGGGCCCGGCAAGGACCCCCAGCGGTCGAAGTTTGCCAAAGACACGCCGTCATGATTTTTCCATGACCCGAGGGGGTCTGGGCCTCAAGCGATGATTGTTATCCTCTTCCCCCCTCCTGGGTAACGGTAAATGCTCGTGTTCGCGCGCATGTTGTGGCGATCGCACTGGAATACCGCCCCGACGTGCCTTACGACGCTAGAGTTTTCTCATCACCCGCCTCCCCACCCTTTCCGTGGGTAACGACAGTACGCGAAATCATTAAAGATACCTTGGCGAAGGACCCAACCATATTAAATTGTGAGTGCTGGAAGACAAGCAGAAACTAAGGGAGTGGGCTCGCAGAAAGGATTAGGGCGTGCGTGAGAAGGTCGGGGCGGCGTTGTTGATGGGCTCGCAGAGGTCGGACGTGACATCTTACATCTGGATGAAACCCATTACGGCAGATCTGCGCGTCTGTCAGAGTGGCCTTTGAGCAGCAGTCGGCGGAGTTTTCGGTAGACCTCCATATGGGGCCATGGAGCGTGTGAGGAGTGAGCCGAAATTAGACGGGCAGTGCATGCGAGTCCTGCCACCGGGGTCTCCGGTGGAGCTCTCTTTTGGGGGCCACGAAGTGTGCAAGGGGTGCGCCGAAATGGTCGCGATCACGCATGCGCCGCATGCGCTTCCTGTTGGTGGAGCTCCCCATGGAGACACGAGGCGTGGGAGGTCTGTGCCGAAATGGGCGCGGTCGCGCATGCGATTGCTGAAACTGCGGCCTTCGGTGTAGGGTGTAGGTCCCTATGGGGCCACGAAGCGTATAAGGCACGCGTGCACGCAGGATGTCGTGCTTGGACGGCGCATTGAGAATAAGTGACACACATGAGCGAAACACATGTGCTGAGGCACGCCATGGAAGAAAACATAATGGACCAGTTCAGTGCCTCGGAGAACATACGTAGGATGCTCTGGGACACCCGGGGGGAGGAGGCGAAAGAAAAATAGTAATCTTGATAATAATAACACTAAGAAGAAGACGGATAACACACACCGAGCCTGTGCATGAGTCACACAACATCGCAGTACGCTTTGACTGCTGTGCTCCAGTTCTCGGCCAGGCCTGTTAATAGATACTCGTGGTGGTCGGGGTCGTCTCCTGCGATTTTCGAAGCACGAGCGTGCAGATACGTGGTCCATTGAAATCGCGGTCTCACCCTGTTTCTGAGTGTCCGCCAGTCTCGCGGCATGATGCTAGGGGCCTGCCCTTGCAAGAAAAACATAGCTCGGTGGATCGACTGCGGCGGCGCTTTAGCTGGTTCGCCATAGTGTTCCAGCTGCCGCTGCATGAGTGCAGTGGACATAGGACAAACTTGTGCCTGCGACCTCACATGGACATTGCTAACCCGGGATCAGAAAGCCGGCCAGTCGTCCGTATGCATTATGCTTGGCATCCATTAAGTTGTTTCTCTGGTCGGCTTTGGAGGAGCACGCATTATTTCAAGCCGTACAATAATTATGATAATACGCAGGCTGACCCAAACCCGCAATATGTGTGTTGTTGGGTCATGTTCGCATATGTCCGAAATGTGCAAAGTTGTTCAAATGCCCCATTTGGCTTCTCCCAAACGTCATGCGATGTTCGGCTCCAGGTTTGCCATTGCTGTCTTGACTGTCAAACGCCTGCCCAAGTAGACCACACTGCTCTGAGTCTTGATTGGTTTCCCATGTGGTCCTGCCACGGTGCCATCGCTGTTGACTTGTAGTGATATCGTTTTTTTGTTGAGGTACAAGCCACGTGTCGTTCTAATGCTTGCAGCTATGTTAGAATGTCTCTGGAGGGATTCTGGGCGTTGCGCAACCAACAGCGCATCGTTTGCGTAAAATACGTTGTTCGTGATCACGTATAGCTTTTGATATTGTTACCTTGTTTGCACGGCTACTTCATTGTCGACGGCCTCCATGAGCACAGATCTGACGATTCCGAAACGATACGGTTTAAGCGGGCATCCTTGCGCTACTCTGGTGTGTTTTCTGAGCAGACTTTGTTGACCCTTCCTTCACCACGATTTGGCCGACCTTATAAGCTGAACCTATCATGTCCAGCTTGGTTGGCGGTATTCGAAAATAGTGGAGGGCAGAAGTAACCCCTCTGGTAAGATACTATCAAACGCCTTGCTCCAGTTCAACAGTGATATCAGCGGCGTCCCATGCTTGTCTTGAAGGGTAGCGTGAAGTAGCCGTCGCACCAAGAATAATGCATCGCTCGTGTTTCGACCGGCTCGAAAACAAGATTGGGATTCTCGTAGAGTTTCGTCGCCCTCCCCAGTTCTTAGCCGAAGAGCACAATGTTGGCCAGAACTGTTTACCCAGTGGCCAATAAGGATGTAGTGCAACAGTTATTCCTTCGAAATACGTCTCATGGATTCGATCATGGAAACTGATGCTTCGCGCCAATTTTCTGGTATGCCATTCCAGCATGTGGCGCAAAGTTCTCAGAGTATTTCCAGAACGGCGCTGTTTGCCCATAGTATTTGCCATACGCCGTGGGGAGTACAATCTTTCCCAGCTGCTTTCTGTACCCTGAGATGTTTGACGGCACGCCGAACCTCTCCTAGTGTAACGTTTCTAGATTCGATGTCGAGGTAATTTGCGCGACCCACTAAGACTGACGAAAGCTATTACCGAGTCATTGCATGACTTCCAATATTCGTTTTCGAGACAATCCGCCATAGTTTCAGCGTTCCTTTCCGAGCTCCCTAGATGCCGATTTTGTCACAGAGTCGTCCGCATTTTATTGGCATTCCCTTCCGTGGAGACCGAATTGATTGCCACCCATCTTTTGCAGGTCATTTCCTAACCAGGCTTTCCTATCAGCACGGGCTCACACCAGCTGCTTGTTGAATTTGTTGACGTGCTGGACACACTGGCCAGTTCTTTTGTCGCAGAAGCGCTCTGTTTCTGGTATGTCCACGTAAAGGTCTACCATCTGAATGTAAAGGTGGGACTGGAATGTCCTCAATCCTCCTAATATGCTGAAAACTGGGGTGGCCAACTCTGCGAGATGATGATGATGATGATGCTGATGCTGATGATGATGTTGATGATGGTGATGATGAAGTGGTCAAGTTGCTCAAATCCTCCAGGCTGCATTGGTTCTGCTGGATTCGTCAGTATCGAAAGTGAGTATTTGCAATGCATGCTTCCATGCCTACACATCGGAGGTGACGGGGTGAGATCGAAGTTCAACGGAGAGCCCCCCTACCGGGAAATCGGTTTCGGTTTCGTGTTCGTGCGTGCCGTGCGTGCGGGCGAGGCGAAGCTGCGTGGGCGGGTGAGACGTGTCCCGCCTCTGGCTGCGGCGCGGCCGGACCAACTGTTTCCTGTCGGGGGGCCGGTGGCGCGCGGTGCCCCGAAGGTGTCCCGCGGGTGTCCCGTCGGTGTCCCGATGATGACGATGATGATGGCGATGTTGATGATGATGATGATGATGATGATGATGATGATGATGATGGCCATGATGGTGATGATGATGGTGTCCCGATGATGATGATGTTGATGATGCTGATGTTGCTGCTGATGATGAGGATGGTGCCACGATGATGATGTTGATGATCCAGATGATGTTGATGATGCTGAGATGATGAGATGGTGATGAATATGATGATGATGGTGTCCCGATGATGCTGATGATGATGAGGTTGATGATGATGATGGTGATGATGATGGTGTCCCGATTCTGATGATGTTGATGATGACGACGATGGTGTCCCGATGATGATGATGATGATGTTGATGATGACGATGGTGATGAGGTGATGATGATTATTCTAATGATCGTGGCCCGATGATGGTGATTCTGATGATGCTAATGTTGATGATAACGGTGTCCCGATGATGATGATGATGATGATGATGATGATTGTGATGATGATGGTGCACCGATGATTGTGACGATGATGATGGTGTCCCGATGATGGTGTTGATGATGATGGTGAGGAGGTGATGATGATGATGATGATGTTGTCCGGATGATGATGATGATGATGATGATGATGATGATGTTGATGTTGATGGTGCGGTTCATGATGATGATGAGATGATGATTGTGGTGTTCGTTGATGATGATGTTGGTGTCCCGTTGCTGATGATGTTGATGATGATTGTGACGATGATGGTGTCCCGGTGATGATGATGATGATGATGGGGATGATGATGATGATGATGATGATGATGGCCATGGTGGAGATGATGATGGTGTCCTGATGATGATGCTGCTGATGATGCTGATGTTGCTGATGATGATGATGATGATGGTGTCCCGATGCTGATGATGGTGTTGATGATCCTGATGATGTCGGTGATGATGGGATGAAAAGATGATGATGATGATGATGATGATGATAATGATGATGATGATGATACTGCAGGTGTTTTATGATGATGGTGTCCCAACGATAATTATGAGGTTGATGATGATGCTGTTGATGATGATGGTGATGATCATGGTGTCCCAATGGTGATGGTGGCGATGTTGATGATGATGATGGGGGTGTCCCGATGATGATGATGATGTTGATGATAAAGATGATGGTGCGGTGGTGATGGTGATTTGAATGATGGTGGCCCGATGGTGATGATGATCATAATGCTGATGTTGATGATGATGGTGGTGTCCCGATGATGTCGATGATGTTGATGATGATGATGGTGACGACGATGATGGTGTCCCGATGACGATGATGATGATGATGCTGATGATGATGATGATGATGATGATGATGTAAATGATGATTTTGTTGTGTAGGTCGTGTGATCGGATCTTGGGCCCTCTGCAATTCTCCTATAGAAATCCCGTGCTCCTTGATAGTTTCGATGTCTTCGTGGATGGGTTTCAGTATTGTTTGAGCATGCCTTCGATCGCGGTGATGATGATCCCTCCCGTGGCAGATCTGGTTGTTGTTCCTCTTCCCTTCGTGATTGCGCTCATGGTGATTTTTCCCGTCGACGCTCCAGCTCCTCCATTTCCTGGTCCGCCTTTCGCCCCGATATCGACATTTAGCCCGTCCAGTTCGTGAAGTCGGTTGTAGATCCGATGTTGCTTAAACAGCTGCCTGATTGGTTTTCCTGGCAGTCGCTTCTCTCCATCGCTTGATGAAGCCATCGAAGGAGTAAGGTGCTCGCACGGTCATCGGCCCATCCCTCTATTGTGCCTGGGCTGTGGTTATGAAGTCTTTCCGGGGGCCTCTTGGAGGCAGTTTGCACGCCTTTTGGAGGCCATTTGGGGCCTTTTGGGGCCTCTTTTGAGCTTCGTGGACCTCTTGGAGCCTCTCGGGGGCCTCTTGGGGGCCTCTCGGGCCTCGTGGGCGCCTCTTGGGGCCTCCTGGGGGCCTTAGGGGCGCGAGGCTCGGATTTTCAGTTCGTGTTCTCGCGTTTTGGCCCCTTTCGTGGCCGTCTTGGGGCCCTGTGCCGTTTTGGGCGCCTATTGAGCCCTCTTCGGAAGTTTTGGGTGCCTCTTGTAGGCCTCCTGGGCCGTCTCGGGGAGGCCTTGATGGCCTCTAGGGCCGTCTGGGAGCGTCGTGAAGCCGAAAAGGCGAGACCGCACAAATCCTACAAACACCCAAGGAAAATTAATGTTTTTGGCTTCTTGAGGACCTCTTGGGAGGCCTTTTGGAGGTCTCTTTGGGCGTCTTGGGGTCATCGATCGGCGACTCGGGGCCCCTTGGAACATCTCGGGGGCTTCTTGGGGCCCTCTTGGCCGGTCGTGTGGTCCTCTTGGGCCCGAACAGTTCATACGACAACACCCGGGGGAGCCCAGAGGGCACGCGCCACGCCCCAGGAGTTTTGGGCCGAGAGGCTCCGAAGCCCCGAAAGAAGCCTCATTAGCGAGAACGGAGGCTTAGAAGGGTAGTGAGGGGACCCGGGGACACGTCCACACTGTGCCCAGCGGCACGCTGGCGGGTGAGGAGAAGGCATGCGGCCCCAGCCATGCAGGGTTTCGGTAGTGCTCCCTGTGGGGCCACGAAGCTTGTGAGGGGCACCGACATGGCGTGGAGAAGGCATACGGACCCAGCCGCTTGGGCGTCAGGTGGAGCTCCTTATGGGACAACGAAGTGTGGGAACGGTGTGCCGAAATGGTGTGGATAAGACATGCGAACCCAGCCACTGGGGCGTCAGGTGGAGTTCTCTATGGGGCCACGAAATGTTCAAAGAGTGCGCCGACATGGTGCGGAGAAGGCATGGACACGCAGCCATTGTGGCCTTCGCTGGAGCTCCCTAGGGCGCCACAAAGAGTGAGGGGCGCGCCGAAGTGACAGTGGAAGTGTTGCTGGAGATGATGATGAGATTGATGATGGTGATGATGATGCTGATGATGATGATGATGCTGGTGGTGGTGATGGTGATGGTGATGGTGATGCTGGTGGTGGTGATGTTGCTGACGATGACGGCGTCGACGAGGCTGATGATGTTGATGACGATGATGAGGATGATGAGGATTATGATGATAATGATGTTGATGACGATGATGATGATGATGATGATGATGATGATGATGATGATGATGATGATGATGATAGTGGTGGTCGTGATAATGACGATGGCGATGACGATTGCGATGGTACTGATGCCGATGATGATGATGATCTTGAAGGTCATTATGCTGATGATACTGATGGTGATGGCGATGAGGATGTTACTGCTACTGATGATGATTAGTGTGATGATGCTGATGATGATAGCGACGACGATACTGATGAATGGTGATGACCGTCATGATGATGAGCATGCTAGTGATGACGACGATGCTGCTGCTGATGCTATGGTGACGATGAGGGTGATCACATAACGATGATGGTGCTGATGAGGATGATAATGACGACTATGCTGATGCTGCCGATGAGGATGCAGATGCGGATGAGGATGATCAAGGTGACGGTACGTGTGATGTGTGTGATGATGATGTCGATGATATTGGTCATGCTGATTATGCTGACGATGATGGTGATTCCGAGCGCTGTGATGATGATGACGATGTTGATGATGATGGCGAAGACCACGGCGACACCGTCGACAACGACGACGACGATGTTGATGATGATGGTGATCATGATGATGCAATGTATGATGATGATGATGATGATGATGATGATGATGATGATGGCGATGACGGTGGTGATGACGGTGGTGATGATGATAATGATGATGACGATGTTGATGATGCTGATGATGATGCGGATGATGATGCTGATACCGATGACGAGTCTGAACGATGGTGATGATACTGATGATGATGAGTGATGGTGATGATGACGCTGCTGCTGATGATGATGCTGATGATGATGATGATGATGATGATGAGGAGGAGGAGGAGGAGGGCGATGACGGTGACGATGATGATCATGATGGTGATGAGATGTGGGCGACAGAGGCAGGGTGGGGGGATGGAGGAGCGGGAGGAGGAGGAGGAGGAGGTGGAGTGAGGAACGCGGGGCCTTGCTGATTCAAAACGAGGATCCAGCAGCACATGATGGCTAGGAACACTCCCTTCTTTCTTCGGCGCGCCGACTCACCGAGGAGGGAGACATGCTCTTCGCCCTGTCGTCCGACGCCGAGGCTCGGCAGGCCGGGCAGCGGGCCGAGGACGAGTACACCTCCGTGATCGCCCTCTTCTCCGAGGCAGAGGCCCTCCTGCGGGAGGAGGTGGCAAGCGACCGTGAGGCGGCCGATGAGGAGATCGCGCTATTGCAGGAGGTGGACGCCGACGAGAAGGTGAGGGACGCAAATCGAACCCAGGCATCCAACGCCTTGGACCAATCCGGGCGGAGTTTCTCCATAGTCTGCGGCCTCTGGGGGGCCCTCACGGGCCCCGGGACAGTCGTGAAACGACCCAGGACGAACAATTGGCCCAGGGACGGCGCACCGTAAACAACGAGACATCGGATGTCTGGGACGGGGCCCACGGTGCCGAGGTCCGACCGCAGATTACCCGCATCAGGTTGCGCGCGAGCGCCCTTGCTTTTCCCGAGGTGGTGTGCCGTGTTTGCGTCCTGCGATAGAAGTTCGCCGCGTGAGGCTCCCCCGCCTTCACCGCAGGTGATCAGGGCCACACGTTTTGCGTCCCTCCTCTTCCGCCGAGGTGGCCGAAGAGGAGATGGAGGCGGACAGCGATCCCGAGGCCGGGAGATGTTAACTATCCGTATCGACGCGGCGGCCATTTCAGCGTTGGCGTTGAAGGTTGAACGTTTCCAGTGGCTCGGGTTGAGCCGATACTGGACGATCTGCGCTGTCGGAAACGCCGCGATCGTGCAAGGTTCGGGTGTTGCTAGAGGTGCCCCTGGCCCAAGGTGCCCCCAAGATTTCCAAGGAGGCCCCCACGGCCTCCAGAGCACCCCTCGCGACGCCCGGAGGGCCCCATGGCCTCCAAAATGAAGCGAAGAGCTGGGGACACCTTGGGCCAGGGGTGCCTCTAGCAACTCCTGAAAGGTGGAAGGATCCGCGAGGTGTCAGAGCCAGCGCGTAGGTTGCCACGACACGAGTCTGCCGTACGCCTGTCCCGACCCAAGACACAGGGCTGGGCCTAAACGTTGTTTCACTGGACTTCGGCAGTGGTTTGTTTTTCGTTTTGGCAGGGAGGTACAGGAAAACTGACAGAGCAAAACGAAGCACAAAACGAACTCTAAACTACCAACAACGTTCGGGCCCAGCCCTGCCAAGACAGGCCCACTCCCTGGGCCCAGGAACAGCGGAGCCGCCTCCAAGACGGCGCAATAGACTCTCAAGATTGGCCCAGGAGGCTCAGACATGACCCCTGAGAGGCATCGTGAAGCAAGCCATCGTGATGTTTGTATTGCTTTTGAATGCCTTGGGTATCGTTGCCTTTTCGGCCGTGAGAGCTCCCAATATCGTCAGAAATGCCTTTGGTATCGCCCCAACGCAGCCCAGGAAGGCTTCACCAGGGCTCCAAGCAACGCCCCAGACGGCCGAAGAGCGGCTCCAGACGGCCCAGGAGGGCCATCAAGTTGCCCCATCAGAGCTTCTCAGAGGCCCACCAGGCGGAGCCAAGACAGCACAGGACGGCCCCAAGACGGCTCTCGGAGATGCCCAGGCTGTTCCAGAGGACCCAACGCGCCCCAACAGTTTCCCAAGATGGCCCCGGAGCACCCCACGGACCCAACACGGCCCGAAAGATACCCAAGACGGCCCCATTTTGCGTGCGTCCAGAATGATCCAGGACGGGGCCCAACGACGTCTGGACGTGGCCAGGAAGCTCTTCAAAAGTACCCACGGTGAGTCAGACGCGCGCGTGGTGCGCATGGCACGCGTGGCGCGTGCGCGCAGTGCGCTCCGTGGCCTCGGCCCGTCGCATGCCGACCCCATTCTAGGTTCCAGCGTCGGACGGTCAGGGATCCAGGCTATAGCCTACGCGTAGCCTTTACACTAGGTCGTCATAGACGGATGCATTTGCTATGCATCGATCTACTGTAGGTCTGCCTACAGGCGACCCGTAGATCTGCCGTAGGCCTATGGTAGGCTTGAGGCAGGTCTATGATAGGCCTATGTTAGGCGATGGGCAGGTGCACAGCGAGCCTGGGTCTATGGTAGGCCTATGCGCAGCCTGTGCATAGGCCTACGCATAGGCCTTCCACAGGCCTATGCACAGACTACATACGCATCGGCCTACGGTAGGCCTATGCACAGGCTATGCGTAGGCCTGCCGTAGGCGTAACCCATAGCATGTGCATAGGTCTGCCATTGGCCTATGCACAGCCTATGCGTAGGCTTGAGGTAGGCCTATTCAACGGCGGTTATGCGTAGGCCTACGGGTAGGCCTACAAGTAATCTACGCATAGGCCTGCCATTCGACTATAGGCATACCCGTACTCTGTGCATAGCCTTATTGGAGGCCCATGCACGGGCTGTGTATACGCCGACCATTGGCCTATGCAGTTTACCAGGGAGTGTGAAATTCTGACATTCGTGGGACACCTATTATTTTCAGTACCAGGGAGTCTGAAATTCTGACATTTGTGGGACACCTATTATTTTCAGGTTGGTTCGTCCCCAAACAAATTGAGTTCGATATCGTTGAAATTATTGAAACATAATGCCTTCCATTCGTACGAACTGGACACCCTGAATTCGCCAAGCGAAGAGGACCCACCCATATGCAGTTGTGAATGCCGCAATTGTAGGTGTCGTCTTCGGTGGTGCCCCCTATAGGGCCACGAACCGCTGTACCGGGCGGGGGAAACGCATGCGGGCTGCGACGTTGGGACCTTCGGTTGAGCTCCCTGTGGGGCCACGCGACGCTATACTGGGTGGGGGAACCGCACGCGGACTGCGCCCCTGGGACCGTCGGTGGAGCTCTCTACGGGGCCACGAATCGTTGTACTGTGTGTGGGAGACGCATGCGGGCTGCGCCCCTGGGACCTTCGGTGGAGCTCCCCATGGGGCCACGAAGCGCTGTACTGGGTGGGGGAGACGCATGCGGCTGCGCCCCTGGGACCGTTGGTGGAGCTCCGTCTGGGGCCACGAAGCGGTGTAGTGGGTGGGGGAGACGCATGCGGGCTGCGCCACTGGCACCTTAGGTGGAGCTCCTCGTGGGGCCACGAAATGGTGTATCGGGATGGGGTAGAGGCATGCGGGCTGTTCCATTGGCACCTTCGGTGGAGCTCCCTATGGGGCTCCGAAGCGCTGTACTGGGTCGGGGGGACACATGCGGGCTGCGCCACTGGCACCTCAGGTGGAGCTCCCTGTGGGGCCACGACATGCTGTACTGGGTGGGGGAGACGCCTGCGGGCTGCGCCACTGGAACCTTGGGTTGAGCTCCCTGTGGGGCCACGAAGCGCTGTACTGCGTGTGGGAGACACATGCGGGCTGCGCCCCTGGTACCTGCGGTGGAGCTCCCTATGGGGCCACGCAACGTTGTACTGGCTGGGGGGATGCGTCACTGGACCATTCGCGTCTAGGGCCAAGAAACGATGTATTTGGGTGGGGGAGACGCATGCGGGCTGCGCCACTGGGACCTTCGGTGGAGCTCCCTGTGGGGCCACGAAGCGTTGTACTAGGTGGGGGAGACGCATGCGGGCTGCGCCACTGGTGCCCTAGGTGGAGCTCCCTGTGGGGCCACGAAACGGTGTACCGGGTGTGGGAGACGCATGCGGGCTGCGCAACTGCGACTTTCAGTGGAGTTCCTTATGGGACCACGAAGCGCTGCACTGCGTGTTCGAGACGCATGCGGGCTGCGCTTATGGGACCTTCGGTGGAGCTCGCTGTGGGGCCACGAAGCGCTGTATTGGGTGTGGGAGACGCATGCTGGCTGCGCCACTGGGACCTTCGGTGGAGCTCCCTGTGGGGCCACGAAACGCTGCATTGGGCGGAAGAGAGAGGCACGCGAATTGCGGAGGAGGGGGAGGAGGAAAGGAGAGAAGTGGAGGAAAGGAGGGGAGAACGCGCGGCGCTTTCTCTTCAAGGCGAGGACCAACAACATATTGGTTGGGGGTAAAACACACTGGTTGTCAGCTATCTTGTCGCGCTTCTGGCGCAAAGGGGGAGGAAGAGACGGATCGCCGCAACGGCGCAAGTGCAGTGACACCGTTCCAGCACCTCACGGGGAGGGATACCCGTCCCCGAAGGGAAGAGGCATTTTGGAAGATGGCAGAAGCATGTCGTCAGACCATCTACGCCCAAAGGGCTTGTGAGATTCAGCATCGGCAATGGTAAAGTCGTGGTCGATGACCGAGTTCATCTGGCATGATCCCGCTCATTCCCTTTCAATCCAGCTAAATCCTGCCGAGTCCTGCTTGCAATTTGGGCATATCTGGCTCAGTGTCCCGCAACTCGGGCAGGCTTAGTTAGGATGGTTTCTTGAGGTGTTGCTGCAGGGCCCAGTCGGTACGATCGATTCGGTTCGACATCGTTTTCGATCGACCCGATCTGATTCGATTCTGATCTTCCAACGATCTGATCTTCGCGCGGTCGGTCTGCTTCGATTCTGATTCCAACCTCGCCGATGTGACCCGTCTCTATGCACGATTCGTCCCGCTCACTTTTCCCGATTCGGTGCGGATTGATCTTGGCAGTGTTTTTTTGAGGTCATTGACATAATCAAAACAACTCGGAGGTCCGCGCAGATTTCTCGGAACGGGGCTGGAGACCCCTGGCGGCGCCTCCGGTGCCGCCCCTGGCGCGGTCCGCGCACCAGCGAGGGGGCTCCAGCGCCGATCCGAGCTTGTATGTTTACGCTACAGCCTGTTCGTTTCGTTTCGTTTCGGTCGGCTCTGGCGAGGTGTTTCGCGGCCGTGCTCTGGCCTGTGTGCTCTCGTGCGTGCTCGCAGCTCTCAGAAGCTGGTCTCCAGCTGGCCGTTCTTGCAGAGGGGGTCCGCGATATTCTCGCGCAGGAAGAGAAACAGAAGATCACCACCCACCAAACCACCCCAACCCAACCCGAAGGTCTCAATTTATCCTCGATTTCCAGTGGGGGGGGTCGCGGAACGTTGAGAAAACACATGGAATCCGTACCCCCCCCAACCCGAAATTCGGGTCAAATTCGGGTCTTGGGTTGGGGTGGTCTGGTAGGTAGTCAGAAGAAGAGAGCGAGCTCCTCTAACTTGGCGCCCCCCCGGGCGAGGCGTCGGCGGCCGAGGCCGCCCCGGCGGGCGAGGCGCCGAGCAACGCAACCGCCGCGGAGGCGCCCGCCTCGGAGGCGGCGGCCGCGGAGAGCTCCGAGGGCACCGCCGCCGGCGCCTCGGGGAACGCCACGGAGGCGCTTCGGAGGAGAAGAGCTCAGAGCGTGAATTACCTACCCCGCTTTCGCTTCCAGGCAAAACCAAGTCATACCACGCGCCTCCTCGTCAGGCGGCCTGACCAGTACATGCCGTGGTTTGGCATCGCTTGGTATCTCTTGGAAGCGAGGGTGGTCAAAAGCGAGGTAGGTTTGTTTGCCCCCTAAGAGCGCAAATGCCGATGTGCCGATGCAGGGCGGCGGAATCCGAGCCCTACAGTGAAGGTGCTGACATAAGGACCGTTTCGGGGCTCAGGCGGAGCTCGGGCTTTTGGGCCGTTCCTGAGTCCAGGTCGGGGAACCTGTTCGTGGACTCGTGGACGAGGCGCGCCGTGGCAAGGACAACCCCTTCGTTCCTTGTGTGGCTTTCCTTCTGGTAGTGCCATGACTGCACACTCGACCATCAACGACTCAGGCACCTCGATGTGCTGTGTTGGTTGGGTTCGGAATTCGTGTGGCGAATTCTGAACCCTATCCCCAGCCCTCGTTGATTCGGGAAAACCGATGATTGGTGGGGGGCATGGTTCGGATGTCGCAACCTGGTTGTCGGGGGCGTCCGTGTTGGGCGTTCCAGAAAAGGCCTTTTCTTCGAGGGATCGAGAGTTTGCCTTCTCTTCTTTTGCGAGAGCTGGCGGAGGGCCAGCGGAACATGGCGGAAGTAAAACGGAGGAACATGGCGGAACGCAGCCGAACCTCGGGGAACGCCACGGAGGCGCTTCGGAGGAGGAGCATACCGCTGTTCAGAGCATGACAATCCTCAGATCTGGGCGATAAATGTCAACACTGAGTTGTTTCGCCCCCTTTCGGACCCCGGGTTCCTCGCGGATCGCTCCAGCTCCAAGAAGCAGCCGAAAGATTTGGCCTAGGCACGTGGTCGTGATTGTTCGTGACGTCGTAGTTCTTCTGCAGCGTAGGATCTCCGTGTACAGTCGAGACTGATTAGTAGGTCGACCCTGCATAATCAAGGGTATCCTTGTGTCCTGAGATGTCCTACCCATGCTTTCTGACATTATTGTTGCAGTGTGGCCTCGGTAAGGTCTTGTGTCCTCTCGCGTGTCCTCTCCAATCAACCCCGACTATACGGGTGTTCGGAGGTGGACGAGCTACCGCTACCTCTACATTGGCCTCGTGCTCGCCTTTGTTGGCCTGGTCGCCACGGCGGGATTCGCTTGGACTTTTTGCCAGAACGCACCTCGGGAGAGGTCAGTAAGGAGCGATATCGTTATTCTGATGGCCTCCGGCCAGTGCCGCCGATCCGGGAGGGCTCCGGGTTCGGTGATCTTCGCGGCTTTGTGATCTCCTCCCTTCTCAATTCTTCTAGTCCTCATTCTTCTCCTCTGGGGGGGTGCCTGGAGCGGTCCCGGGCGGGGTCCAGGGAGGGTTGACGCTAGATGGAGGACCCCCCCTCTCCCCCCCTTCCCCGGCAGAACCACCCCGGCGATCCCCCCCAAACAGAGCTGACGCTCTTGCTTATTTAGGCGTAGAGCAGAAGCTCTAGCTGAGGCTCCTCCTAGTTTACACGCCGGATCTGCGGATTTCTCTGGGTCCCCAGATGATCATGTGCAGATGTCGGGGGGGGCGCCCACGTGCCTCATGGACACGATGGGAGGTTGTTCGCAGCTTGTGGCCCCCAGGGGCGTTGCGCCGGCCCTGGGGCCGTTTCAGTGATCACGCGCGGTCAGGAATTTTTTTCGGGGGTCCACAGATTGGAAAATATCACGACGTAACAGTTTTGGGTCCAGCCACGTCACCAATCGGTGTGCACCGCTCGTCCTGACCAGGAGGGCGTACGCATACGTTGATCCGAGGTGAGGGATGTACTTGGCCAGGATTCGCTGAGGTCGCAGCTGACGTCCCCCGACTGGCACCGGTCCATCCTTTCTGCTTGTTTGAGCCTTCTCAGGGGCCTTCGTCGCCACGACGGATGGGTTCGCCGCGGGGCCTTGGTCAGAGCGCACCCTGGGCGATGGTCTTGGGAGGGCCACGAAGGGCCGTGAAAAATGAAAACACAAAAGCACCAACAGAAATTGTCAGATGTCCGTGCTGATTTGGTTGGTCGGCGCTGGGCCCCCCTTGCCCCACGCCCGGCGCACTCCGCGAGCCAAGGAACAGGTGTGGGGAGTTGGGTCCAGCGCCGACCTTGGAAATCCGCACGGACCTTCGAACGTTTGCGTCTGCGCATGTGTCTTGTTCCTCTCAGAGGTGCAATCCGACGAGAATCAGAGCAGGGCCAACCTGTCTACGTATTTCGACCCGAAGTTGATGGCCATCTTCAGGGAGAAGCAGGCGCACCTGAAGGAGACGATGAAGGATTCAAGGGCTGCGTCCTCTGCCGCCGGACTTCCAGGCTGGTCCGTTTTGTGACCATATTCGGGCTGTGATGGAGGCATTCGGATTTCTCTCCGCGCAGCGGAACCTCATGCAGCCACGTCTTCAAGCCTAGGTATGTCTAGAGTCTGGAGTGAGCCCCAGCAGGCATGTCTGGACCAGGGCTCGGGGCTCAAGGGACGGGGGTCTATGCAAACTGGGGTCAGCTAAGCTGCCAGATCCTGCAGGATCCTGAAGAGCCAGGGCTGCTCGCAGGATCCGGCAGGATCCTTCAGTTTTCTGCACAGCCTAATTGACCCAGATCTGCATGGACCCTGGTCAGTGTGTCCCCGAATCACGGTCGCATGCCGCAAAATGGCGACGCTAAGGGCCGCCAATGAGGTGTATCATCTGGCCGTTTCGTGGCTCTGTTTGAGGTCCTCTTGCTCGACATGGGACGCATCTTCGGGCTTTTCGAGATTGTCTCGGGGCCGCCTTGGGTAAACTGTAGTGATCTGGCGGAGTCTTGATGCGAGACTGGAGCGTCTGAAGAGCAAGATATTGGACAGGCAAACAACATAGCACAGTACTATTTTCTCGTTTGCTCGTTTTTTCGGGCACGGTCCCATGGGGATCGGGGAGCAACCTAGGGCAGCCGGGAGATTGAGGAACCCCCATGCTTGTGATCTTCTGGAGGTTGGACATGAGTGTTGCATAAAGGGGTGTTGTACCAAAACTGAAAGTGGCAAGTTTACATTGCACCCCGCAGTCGCAAATAACAGTGAGGGGTCGGCGGGGACGTCTGCAGTCTGCGAGGCTCTGACGAAGCCCGCCGCAGGCGTATTTTTCTACAAATAATACAACGAGTCCGCCGCAGGCGCCGAGTTTTCGGTAAAGCAAAGTGGGTGGGTCGCGGGGTGGGTCGCGGGTTGGTCTCGGATGGGTCGCGGTTGGGTCGAGGGGTTGGTCGCGGGTGGGTCGTGGGTGGGTCGCGGGCCGGGCCGCGGGTGGGTCGCGGGTGGGTCGCAGGTGGGTTGTGGTTGGGTCGCGGGTGGGTCGCGGGTGGATCGCGGGCGGGTCGCAGGGTGGGTCGCGGGTGGGTTGCCGGTGGAACGCAGGGTGGATCGCGGGTGGGTCGCGGGTTGGTCGCGGGTCGGGTCGCGGAGGGGACGATGCCAAACAATAACATTGTCATAACATCAGCATCAACATCATCAGCATCAACAACCACAACCACAACAACAACAGCAATATCAACAACCAGCAACAACATCAACACCAACAGCATCTACATCAACAGCAACGACAACAATCATGTTGTTGTTCTTCCTTGCCCGCGTGCCACTCAACACGTATATCCCAGACCCTCGATATCCGCCCTTCTCGTCTTTGATCGTACCCCGTTTCGGGGTGTATTTTTCTTGCCTGCAGCGTGTGTATTTCGTGCAGTCCCTAAGGCAGGGGAAGAGAGAACGGATGGAAGGAAGGGACAAGGAGGAGGGAGGAGGATGGAGCACGAGAGAAAATAGCAAGAGGGGGGCTAGGAGCAGAAAACACGTGGCAGGACCAGACGGGCAGATCGGGCGGGTAGACCCTAACGGGCGGTTCGGGAAGGCGGGCCTAGACGGCCAGGTCGAGCAGGCGGATTGCTAAAGCGTGCGCCCTGCATGAGTCGCGAGGAAGTCTCGATCAATAGCGCGATTCCCAAACCTATCTTGAAGAAATCCTCAGCGAGATCGTGATTCCTGAGTGTCGAGGGCGTGGCGTCTGAGCACGCTGCAATGATGTCCCGCGCGAAAGCGTGATTCCTGCATTACATTATGTGGAAGTCCTTCGCGAGAGCGCGCTTCGGGGGTACACTGTGAGGAAACATGAGGCGGGCGCCGTTGTTGTTGTTGTTGTTGTTGTTGTTGTTGTTGTAAACCGGGGGCCAGGGGCACAATTTGAGCAGGAAGACCTTCCCGCGATAAAAACAAGGCGAGCCCCAGGTGGGTCATTTCAATTGGAAAAATACGCACGTATGTCACGCGAATGCGTGAGGCCTGCATAATTCGCCCGGAAGTGTCGGGCGAGAGCGCCGAAGAAAATTCTGAGGAAGTCCCAAGCGAGACCTCGATTCCTGAATGGCGAGGGCGTGGCGATTGAGTTACTGGCGAGGAAGTCACAGGCAAGAGCGCGATCCTTGGATAGATGGCAAGGAAGTCCCTGCCGAGAGTGCGATTCTTCCGTACATCGTGAGGAAGTATCAAGCGGGAGCCCTTATTTATGTAAATTGGGTGCCAGGGACACAGCTTGAGCAAAAGGATTTTCAAAAAAGGGTGTGAGCCCCGGGAGGAGCACTTCAATTGAAAAATACAGTTGTTACCTGAGGGGGGGATCAAAAATAATTATTCCTCAGTAGGGAGAACGCAACAAAGAAGCAAACAAACACGCAAGCAAACAAACAAGCAGCAACGATAACCCGCATCGCGGAATCCCAATTCAGCCACGCACCCAGGGACAGTGAATGACCGTTTGGCTCCCTCACTCTGATCTCCAATAGCCGCAAGAGCATTGCATCCCGATTTCAACAGCGTTGGCTTTGCGCCGACCGTCTCAAACAACGTCAGAATTCCTGATCCGAATTCCCCGAGCGACCGCAGTTCTACCTGAACAGCATCGCTAACACCTGTTCCAGGACGCCCGGTTACGGTTACCAAGCACGCAAATTCGGAAAGTCCGAATCGCGAGAAGCGTGATTCCAGAATGTCCATACCGCCAAAACATAAATCCGGAAGTCCTGGATTTAGACATACATAGTAGTATGGTTTCAAGAGCGATGTGTAATGTCTCAAGTGCCGAAACGGCGTTCCACAATTGTTGGGAGTACAACGAAGGATTCCGGACGTTCTGGAATCTCCTCACTCGCGTGCTTGGCGGTAGGGCGTCATGCAATGGGAAGTTTTGTCGCCGTTCAGACTGCATGGCGGTCGTTTGGAGAGTTAGAATTTCATATAATATGATGTTTGAAGCGGTCGGCGCAACGCCAACGTTGTTGAAATCGGGATGCAACGCACTTGTGGCTATTCTGAGCAGCGTCGCCATTGACAGCATTGGCGCCACACCCCATTATACATTATACCACACTCCTCTCCGACCTCGTCTGTTTTTTTGTCATAGTTCACCTTCCCTCGTAGACAGTATAATGGCAGGACTGGAGAGGCAAGAGGCAATTTAAACAATGCACGGCGAAGACCACAAGACAGCAGTCCAGTCTTTCGTTCCCCTAATGGGGTCCAGCGGACTTCATGGTGTCGAAGAAGGAGCTCGACGTGGCCAAGCTGGCCGCGAATCTGGCGATGAAGAAGCTGAGGCTGGCGACCGAGAAGCGGAGGAAGATCCTGATGGGCGAGAGGATGGCCGAGGCCGAGGAGCGTCGTGCGATCAAGGAGAACCGCCGACAAGCCAAGCAGGACATGACGATGCGCGCGGAGCAGCTGCTGCAGGACTCTCTCGGCGGCCTCGCGGGCGTCAACCTGAGCTACATGGTAGACGTCGTCCTTGCCTTGCCGGAGGCGCTGCAGGACCCGCGCGCGTGAAACATGTCCATGTTCACGGCCTCGTGGTCCAGATCTCGGCCGCGACCCCATGAACTCGGGTCGGCTTGTCCATGGGATCACGCACATCCACGGGATCGCGTGTCCGTGGGATCGCGCCTAGGTGCCCAGACCACGAGGGCGAGGACATGTATCATTGTCATCGCTCGTGAAGGACGAGGAGTTCGTGGAGGACTTCCGCAACGTGACCAAGAGGGTGGACGTGAACGTCAGGAAGTTCCTGGACCAGACTCAGCAGAAGACCACGCAGTTCGTCAAGGACAGCACCTCCGCCTCCGACGTGGAGCTGCGCTTCATCATGGCCAAGTTCTTCCACGAGTCTGGCTTCCGCCTCCGAGGTCTCCACCAGGACCTGGCGCCGCGTCGGAGGAGGAGGAAAAGGAGGGGGGGGGGCGAGGGGGCCGGCTCTCCGCGACGGCGGGTGGCTTCCTAGACAGCTTCTCCACCACGACACGTCTCGCTTAGGCCCATGGAGGTGCCAACGTTCCCCCCTCGGCCCAGGGCTCCTGGTGTGTCTTGCGGCGGTGCCGCACGCTCTTTTGCTCGCGGCGCCGGAGCTCAGGGCAGGCGCCGCGCGGCGCGCGGCGCCTCCCGCGGGAGGCAGCCCCCCGGCTTCCTCGCGACGGGACCCTGGTCGTAAACCGAAGGGAGCCGCCTCGCACCGGGGCTCCGCCCTGTGCAGGCTCGGGCCGCCGGGCCCCGTCTGGAGAGTGGCTCGAGGCGCCGCAGGCTCGGCGCCTCGAGCAAGGCCGTCTGGAGAGTCCGCTTCGTGAGACTGCAGCGGCGTTGACGCAAGGGGGGCCTCTTGGGGAGGAGGCCGGAGGTTTCCAAGAAGGCCCCCCCCCCCCGTTCGCCCATCCAAAAGGGGTTCGGAGGCTTCGAACGATGAGGAGGCAGGAGGAAGAGGAACAAGGAGAGGGAAGGAAGGAAGGGAGGGAGGAATGGTGAAGGGGAGGGGGAGCGGGAGTTGGATACGGACGAGGAGGGAGAGAGGGAGGGAGGGAGGGAGGGAGGGAGGGAGGAGGAGGAGGAGGAGGAGGAGGAGGAGGAGGAGGAGGAGGAGGAGGAGGAGGGAGGGAGGGAGGGAGGAGGAGGGGAGGATGAGGAGGGGGGTGGAGAAAGAGGAGGAGGAGGAGGAGGATGAGGGAGCAGGAATGAGGAGGAGGGCCTCTTCTCCCCCCTGCTCGCGCGGACGCAGGACAGCCTGAAGGCCATCCAGTTGCTCAGACGCACTGTGCCCGAGGACCTGGAAAGGGCGCTCTTCCCATTCCTCGGGCAGCTGAACGCCAACACGGTCCGCCTCAGGATCAACGCCACCAGCCTGGCCACCGCCACCCCAAAGGAGGCGCCCTGGATGACGAGGAGGAGAAGGAGGAACAAACTAGAGAAAAGATAGAAGAGATGGGAGGGAGGAATGCTGGAAGAGGATAACCCGATGAAGGAGGGAGACGGACGAGGGCAGGGAGTAGAAGGAGGAAGGAGGAGGGAAGTGAAAGTAACATTGCATAACACTGCAACAGCGAGGGGAATAGGGAGCGGCGGATGGTTAATTGGGAGGAGCAATGATCAGGATAATCGGGTGCAGGGGGCGGTAAACGCGGAGTTGAAACAGCAGCAGTGAGAGGAGAAGTAGGGCGAGCAGGGGGAGGAACCGCATGAGGAGGGGGAGGGGGAGGAGGATGGGGAGGAGGAGGTGGAAGTTGAGGTTCAGGGGAGGTGGGGCGGAATGGAGGGGGTCGGCTGTGAGGGGAGGTGGAGACTCGGGGGTGGTAGTGGTGCCCGCAAATGTTGACGGAGAAAGGACGTGCTCTCGTGCGGGTCTCTTGGGACATTTTTGGCTTGTCCTGGGGCTTTGTTGGGCCGGGGGGGGCGTCGTATCTGACCCGGGGTGTTCCCAGGGACCCCCCCGGGGACCCCCCCACGGGACCCCCCCCCTCGCGGGGAAGGGATGAACGGGAAGGGGGTTCCCTTCGACTCAATGGCGACGTAGCTCAATGTATGTGATTACGACATTGCTCAATGTTCCTATTTGCTTCGCCGCTTGAGGGGGAGGCCTTTGAAATGGGAAGGAGCGACGACGACGACGACGAAGAGGGGGCAGACAGGAATGCCTCAGAGGGGCAGAGCGAACAGCCTCTGCCACACGCCGACACAGGGTCGGCGGATCTGAGAAGGTCCAAGACGACAAGCGGAGGCAGAGCAGGGAGGCGGGGGCAGAGGCGGATGAGGAGGAGGCGGACGAGAGGGCCGAGGAGGCGGGAGCCCGTGGGGTTGCCGAGGCGTGCGACCAGATCACTCAGATCATGGCCAACGTCAGCGATTACGATTCAAGCGGCATGCGCCATTCCGCCGACTTTCAGGTGAGGTGAGCTCACCTCACCTACCCCTCCTCACGTGAGGAGGGGTTTCAGTGGCTGCGTTCATTGTGAGTCCGAGGGCTGTGGAGATCATTTGACTGGATCGTACGCTGGTGGGATGGTGGTTGTTGGCTGGGAACGCGTAGCACAAAAAAGCAAGCGTATATGGGAAGAGGGGAATGATCAATGCGAGCAGGTGAGGTGAGGGAGGTGATGGAAAGGGAACGCAGAAGCCCCGAAATGTGGAGCTGCGGGGCGAGGAAGAACGCAACGACCAGGAAGAGGAGCACATAGCCAGGGGGAACTATCACACGCATCCTCCAATCAGTGAGTGTTTGGGGGCTCTGGCCCTTGACATGTGTGCGACCGAATACTTGGGCCAGTCTTATGGCCCGCGGGTCCTTGTATGGTATATTTTGGGCCTTTGGGGACCATCGTGGGCTGCCTGAGGGCCTCTTGGGGCCATCTTGGCGTCACTTGGGGATCTTGGAATTGTTTTGGAGGGTTTTGCAGCCATGGGTGAGTCTTCGGGCTGTCTATTGTACAAAATTCGTGCCGTCTTGGACCATTTTTGAATTTCGATGGAGGCCAGCTGGGAGCCTTTTGCGGTCATATTGCGACCAGTTGGGGGGCAGGTTGGGGTGCTCGCGGGTCCTATGGAGGCTGTCATGACCTTCTCGCAGGCGTCTGTATTTTTTACGCCGAGACAGCAAAGCACACTACACGTGTTTCTGTTTGGTGATTTGGGGTGTATTTCTGTGCTCTTCCGGAGGCGTTGGAAAACGGATTTGGAGGGTGCGAACGCACAGGCGATGCTTTGGTGAGTTTCAATGGTATCCCTTCCTCAAAAAGGATTTTGGACCCTCAGGGACAGGGACACCAACACCTCTCACACGACACGCCCACTCACCCCCCCACGCGCGGGTCGGCGGGTTCCAAGCTCGAGACCATCGGCAAGGCGATCGAGAACGTTTCCACGAGGGTGCTGCCGAGCATGGAGAAGACGCTGCAGGTCTCCCCGGACATCACCGCGTTCGTGGGTTCGTTCCTGGACATGGCGCGCCTCGAGGTGGGCGGCCTACAGGAGGCTGCCCACAGCATGGTCACCAGGGCCAGCCCCATCATCGCCGAGCGGGTGCAGTGCACCTTCAGCAACTCGCGCCCGCGCGCAGGCCTCGGATTCCTCAGCGCGGTCGCCGTGCTCGCGGGCACGTGGCTCCTGCTCTGAGGGGCAGGGCTCGCGCACCGATGCTTCCTGCATGCTGGACTTGTGGATTGGATCGCCATCAGGCTGTTTCTCTCTCTCTCTCTCTCGTGTGCCTGCGCCTTCACGTGAGCGACGCAGAACATCACCACCCACCAAACCACCCCAACCCAACCCGAAGGCCCCTATTTGCCCTCCAATTCCAGTGGGGGGGGGGGTCGCGGAACATAGAAAAAACACGTATGGAACCCTTACCCCCCCCCCAACCCGAAATTCGGGCCTTCGGGTTGGGTTGGGGTGGTCTGGTAGGTAGGCAGAACACCAGGCTCGGTTGCGCGGATCCTCTCGCGTGAGCTGCTCGCGTAAGGCCGCGCGTAGACGCCCTCGTTCCCAGTGCAGCGTGTGCCGCGCTGGCGGCCCGGATGCGTCGCGGCAGGAGGTCGCGTCTTCTCGCGTAAGAGCTTTTTTTCTTCGTCGCGCATGCCCCAATCCTTGTTCCCTGCCGTGTCTTCCACGTCGGGCTCGTCGTGCGTCAGATGCTTCCAGGTGCTCCTCATACCCCTCGTCATCGGCACTCCGAATGTCCTCCATCTCTTCCCTGTCGGCCTCCAAGTCCTCCTCGTCTTCCCGCTCACTCTCCTTCTCGCCCTCCCCCAAGTTCCTCCCAGCCCCACGGCCCCGTCTGCTCCGTTAACTTCCCCCTCCATAGCCATCTCCTCCCATTTCAATTATTGAGAGCGGGCTGCTCGGAGTACCCCCCCTTCCACGGATCGCTTTGTTGCGTAAGACTGCTGCGCATGTACCCCCCATCATGTGGCGCGTCCGACGCTGGCACACTCCAGCTCGGGCTGCATCGGCATTGTCCTGCCACCCCCCCCATCTTTTTATATGTGTCTCCTGCGGTGGTTAGCTGCACCCCCCCACACACATTGACGCTCTCGGCGTGCAACTGCTATCAAGTTACGTGTATCTTGCGGCAGCTTGCTGCACCCCCCCTCTCCACGGCAAGGCGCACTCTGAGGGTTGCAGGCCGGCCACGGTGTGGGGCGGCGCCGAATGCGTGGCCTGGTGGATGTCCTCCACGGCGCCTCGGGGCTCGCCCGCGGCGGCTGCAGTAGCCAGAGCTGGTGGCCAGGCGGGCAGGCTGCTCTGACGACCCCCCATCCACGGTTCGCACCATTCAGA